AAGTCATAGAGTTTAAAGGCAACGCTTGGACTTCAGTGAAACTTAATGAAGGGTGAGCCAATAGGAAAGTGAAAAACTGACCTCTGGCTGGTGTTTTGTCATCTTTCAGGGTCATGACATGAGATCAAACTATTATTTTGATGTGTGTGTCTTTCTGTGTCTGTGATGCCTCAGAGGGATGAATGTACAGCCATTCACTGTCACAATGATGAAATACGAATGATGTAATCTTTAAAATCTCCAGACCAACTTTCACATGTTTACCGTGACCTCCCCGGTGTGGCTCGGTGGAAAACATCCGGCCTCGGGGATCAGGGCTCGCTGCAGCCAGGAGGGAGGACGCCGTCGCTGTTGTTTTTAAAGTTACGTGTTGTGATGATGATAGAAGGGGTCAACAGTTCATTAACCTCATCCTCCTCTGAGAGCAATTAATGAAGCAACACCAGTCTGGAGAGCCGACCAGACCGCTGATCCACACAAACAAGCCAGTAAACCTCCCAGCCTGTTACACTAGTGAAAGCAGAAGTAAACAGATCAAACCACATCTTTAACATAGTTCAATAATTCAGTTTCTACTTCTGCTATCAGTCGTCCTCAGCCTGGCTACTCATTAGGGCAAACCACAAAACTAATTAACAGTTTATTTGCAACACAACTGCATGTAATCAGGATAACGTCACCATAAACCTCAAACTGCTTCAGTGATGCAAATGTTGTTGAATAGATTTGGACACAACTTCATCCCATGACTGGGTTCTAACTCATCACGAGATGCTGAACTGAGCAATACCGATGAAAGGCATGAAATTAAATTGACTTTCTCTCTAGTACGCAGTGCTCTGATGCCTCCCTCAGAGTTTCTTGGGCACCATTTTGTTACCACACTCACAATAAGGCTTTTTTTTCCGTTTGGTAATTTTCTGGCTGCAAGCAAACCTGCCTTTGGTCGGGTATAAGAAGATTGAACCAGTTGGGTTTTTGCAGATCAGATGAAACGGTGAGCTATAGCATCATTTAATGAACACAGTCTAATCGTATTTCCCAGGTTGTCTCGGAGATACAGCCCAACAGCCTTTGCCTGGTTTCGTTACACTGCGTTTCATTTTGTGCGTTTAAGCACAGCGTAGAGCTGTATGTCATCCAGGCCAGATGCATATTTGCTGTCGTTAAGTAAAAGAAAACAGTCTTGAAGCATAAAGACACGTCTTAGCGTCGGTGCATCTACAGTGTAAGTAAACCCGTTATGCAGTTGGCTTTAAAAAAGACGATAGCTGTTCCATTAAACGTACGTAGGATGGGTGACTAAAATATGCAGCGAAGAGGCTTTCTGTGTCGACATGCTGCTGCTACAGAGGAGGATCGCTCCTGGCGTCTCTGGGCTGAGACGCCTTCATGAGTGAGATGACTGAAGTTGTGTTTATGGTCTGTCCAAACTGCATGCCAGGTGGTTAGACGGCATTGGATCTGTGTGCTCCACTGTGTAGGGTCTGTAGCTATGTCATACCCCTTTAGCATACATCCATCTATTTGCTCTACGGTTGTGTTTTGACGGTTGTGAGAGCTCTGGAGTCTATCCCAGTTTACCAGTCCATCAAAGGGCCACAACCCCTTAACTCAGACATACAAATAACGCTGAAGGAACTGTAACGGGCAGATCAGAGGTTGACTGAGTCCAGCAAATGATGTCATATATACACATTTTATTCTTTTCTATGGAGCTGATTTAAGAACTGGTTGTAATAATTTAATCTTAATATGCTTTGAGTATAAAACCTTCACCTCTTGTGGCCTTAAAATCTAAATGTGAAAGAGGTTTGTCGTGTCCTTCCTTGGAGAACTTCCAGCATATACTCATGTCAGCTACACTGGATTGTACAGGACAACAACATTTTAGTCCGCAGCATGTACAGAACAACAGCATGACATGACACATGGATAAACATTTAGGCCTCAAAAAACAGGACAAATGTCGTTAAAGACAAGCACAATCCCACAGCAGAGTCGTATCCATGGGTTCTACCATTTTTGCACCATGTGTGGGTTCTGAAGTAGCAAAGCACTACCATTAGCATTACACTACAAAACACCCGTTCCTGTTTGTATTTTCTTTTTTTTTATTATTTTTTTTATTTAATGGCCATAATCTTAACGGGGCAGAGCTCAGCCCAGGATGCAGCAACAGTGCCCCCTCAAAATAATGATGGGGGAATGGTTGTTTATGCTTGATAACGAGCACTATTATTAAAATGAGTGATTCACTTAAAAAGCCAGGCAGGACTGTCTTGCTGCATGATCCAGGTCCTCTGCAAAACCTTAAATATTCAGTGTGTAGGTTGTTAGCTTGGGGACTGTCGTGGTTGTTTCCAGTCGTGACGTGGATTTTAGCTGCGTGCGATGTGCTGCCAAATGAGTGTCAAGTGTGTGTAATGTACTATGTTTAGTTTATTGTGTTTGCAAACCAACTATTATGTAAAAGTAAATCTTAGCTGATTCCATTCTGGTTCACACACCTAAGTCTGAAATGTTTGGCAAGTTTAGATGATCCCTCCACAAAAAAGGAATTTGGGAGCCTGAACATTGTTTTAACTAAACTTTACAACATCATCAGTGGATGCATTTTATTTAAACGGAAAAAAATATAATTCATCTTGCACATACTCATCTATCCATAGCTGGATTGGAGAAAATATTTAAATTTGTTTATTTGATGGCACCTTGATTTTAAAGTTTCAGAAAAAGCAGCATTAGAGCTAATCACAAAGAATCACTGATGGAAATTCAGTTTACAAGAGTTTGGTTGTTATCTCAGCACTTCTGACCTGATGGTAGCGCTACGAGAACCTTCATCACCATGAATCATGACGACTTATGCCAGATTTCAGGGCAGTACGTCCAATAGCTGTACACTTCAGTGGATTATCTGACCTGCAGGCCGACACTGGCTTCCCTTGAGCCGTGTTGTGGACACAAGCATGTGCTTGACCTGAAACCTTAACACGCCGTGGGTGGAAGTTTCTAAAATCTCCAGAGGTGAAATGAGGTGGTGACGTCGGGACGAGTTAAAAGACTAAGAACAGCTTCCAGAGCCAACAGTTGTCGTCTAGCTGTGAGTAGAGCTCAGCTAAACCTAAGTATTGGTAACTGAACATGTCTGATTTTTTTTCAGCGATGCCGCCTTTTCAACACAGTACGTCGTAGAAAAGCAGACACCAGGACTGACCTTTTCTCAGCTCTTTGATTCAGAGGATGGAAAACAGCAGCGTCTCCTTTTACTTTAACTTCACCATGTTCATGAGAATCGGACAGTACCGCTACGTCGCCTTTGTCTTCTGCCTCCTGCTGTACAGCTTCATCGTTTGTGCCAATGTTCTCATCATATGGATAATACTGCGGGAGAGCACGCTGCATAAGCCCATGTATGTCTTCATTGCATTTCTGTCTATTAACTCTCTGTATGGTTCGGCTGGTTTCTTCCCCAGATTCCTCATGGACCTCCTGTCTGACACTCATCTGATCTCCCGTCCTGCTTGCTTCACTCAGATCTATATCATTTACACATATGCGTCCTATGAACTGAGCATCCTGAGCATCATGGCTTATGACAGATACGTCGCTGTGTGCCATCCTTTACACTATCACAGAAAGATGACCCCTAAAACTGTCTACACTTTGGCATTTTTTGCTTGGGTCTTGCCAGCCGGTAACCTTTCAATAACCTTGAATATGATTGTGAGGCTTCCTTTATGTGGCAACAAAATAGAGAAGGTATACTGCGCCAGCTGGAATATTGTAAAAATATCCTGCGCCACCGCCGCTGTCAACAACATTGGTGCTATGCTGGGAGCCATAGTCATAGCCTTCCTTCCTTTTGCTTTTATCTTGTACACTTATCTCCGAATCGTGCTCGCTTGTTGGAAAAATGCAGCAGAGGTCAGAGCAAAGGTGCTGCAGAGTTGTCTTCCACATGTCGTTTCCTTTGTGGTTTACTCCATCACTTCGTTTAGCGACACCGCCCTGAGCCGGCAGAGTCACGTCAATCCGTTTGCGGCTGTAATTTTGTCAATAGAGTTTATCGTCATTCCTCCGCTTCTGAATCCTCTCGTGTACGGCCTTAAACTACCAGAGATCAGACGACACATTGTTAGGATTTTATACTTAGATAAAATGACTTCCTGCAGACCTTTAGCAGAGTTTGCACATGTGCCGTGAACATTTTGTGCCATAAATAAAACAGGGGTAAAACGATCCGGTGTCATGGTGTCTGATGTAATCATTAGTTTTACTGGAATGACATTATAATTACAGGCTGCATGTGGTGCAACATATATGACATACGAGACTAAATGCTTTGTTTGCAGATGAGATTACAGTGAATTGTAATCTATGATTGGCCTTAAATCACATGTTCCAATAACAGTGCATCCAGTAAACCGATTCTTTGATGTTAAACATCTTTGCAAGTGATGTTTATTTTCAGGGTGAAAAAAAAAACAAAGCTAAAGTGAAATTAGATTATGTAAAAAAAGCAGCTTGAATGAGAGTAAAGAAGTCATTTAATTTTCTGTCCTTCTAACCTGAGATGTTCTAATGCACAGATACACAAAATGATCTGGAAGAGTTTTTAACAAAGAAATGTTCGTTTTGATTTGGTAGAACTGAAGTAAACTCTAGATGTTTTAGTTTTTTGGTATTTAAAAGTACAATTTTTGTTTGTATGAATGACATTATATACATCTTTTATTATCATTTGGACTGATGAGGGTTTTATGTGGATGAGCAGAACCACTATGATGGATAACTAAAACGTAAAAATACAAGTGTAGACGTTAAAATGCCCGGCTGTGGGGCGGACGGAGAAACCTACGGTTCAGAAGTCGATGTTTTCAGATATCGATCTGTGTGCAGAATGTACAGGAGTACTCGCACTAATCCCCTTGTGTAGGTGTATTCACATTACACAATTAATCATCCATCCATCCATTATCTATACACCGCTTTATCCTCACGAGGGTCGCGGGGGGCTGGAGTCTATCCCAGC